TATCTGGATTACCCAAGTAAAGATGATCGTGGCGGAATTGGTATGCCAGGAGCTGTTTTCTCCCAAGGTCTGATGAGGTTCAAAGATGAAATCTTTTTAAAAATGAGAAACCATCACGCATCCAAGAACATCAACAGAGTGTTAAACTTTAAATCAAACCCAAGATATCGAAAAATCTGCTCCTATGTTACCACTCAGAGAATTATGTTCAGTTCAAGGCTCTGAATTTAAAGAAATTAAGAGCCGTTAGTCGTCTCAGAGTAGTAAGTTAGGATTTGCTGAAGATATACTTAAAATATGCTACTTTGACTATTAAATCTAGTTAAGTATGTGGTGCATGCAAATACCTTGCAAATGACCTGGTGACCCATTTTTCGATTCAATTCATCAAATTTAATGAACCAAGAAATAAGTACTTGAAGACATTTATCACTGAATCCAGGGAAGATGTTAGTGTAGAGAAGATACTAAAAATAAACACTATGAAAAAATTAAATCAATTATATTATTTCACGCAGGGCTGTTCATTGAAATTTTAAGTGGTATAGTTAATCATATAAATATATCTTAATGGCTTATTTATGTTGTTATTTGTTTTATACCCCTGGAATATTTGTTTAAAAAAATAATTATGAGAAAAAAATGTTTTAATAATTTTATATGTATATATATATATATATATATATATTATATATATATATATATATATATATATATATATATATATATATATATATATATATATATCGTTTACTAATTTGTTATTATAGTCATACTTAATGCTGTGGACGTTGTTAATGTTATGTTTGAACGCAGTACTAGACTCAAGATCTAACATTGTTAATAATGTCATTATATTTATTTGAACAGGAATTTCCTTAGACAAATAAAATAAACTATTCTATTCTAACATCACTTTATAGAAGATTTTGTTTACATATTTAGAAAGTAAAAAAAGGAAAATAAGGAGAGAGGTTTGATGTTTAATGTTGAGATGATGTAATTTAGTGAAATAAATTCACGTCTTCACCGAGAGGATGGTTGATGTTTCGATCTTATTCGAACAATAGTTTGAAAAAAATAATAGATATGGCGGATTAAACTTTCTTAAATTTTAACTATCATATCTTAATGAGAAACGAATCATACAAATGGATGTAATGCATATGATTTAACTGGATTTCTATTGTTTTAATTCAATTAGTAATACCATTATTTTTTAAAAAATATGTAAAATGAAAATTCCAACAAGAAATCTGAGTGAAAATCTCTTGTAGAAGAATGATTATTCTGAATACTAGTAAAAAAATTATTTTTAAAATTTAATTCTTCCAACAAATGGTAGACAAACAAAAATCAATTCAGCTCAATAAATAAATCAGTCCATATCACTAATTATAGTAAATATAAAATTAAACCCTTTACGAATTAAGTGGGCATTACAAAATTAATGGCAGCATTGCAGCGGATGTTGGAATGTGAAGTCTTTGAGGAACAACCATATACAGAAGAGGAGAATTCTACAGAGTGGTGGAATGGAAAACATATGATATAAGAGGGTTACATGGTTATGAAAATAACATCTACAGTACCAATACATAGGATAGAACCTTTTAGAAGGAAAGAGAATGTTCAAAACGAAAGGAGGGAAAGATGGAATTGCAGTAAAAAAAAATCAGAGGCTGTCAGTTTTATTTTAGGACATATTGTTATATACCTTTAGTACTTTTGTTAATGGCTTAATCATTTTTAAATATAACAAGAAATGGGTGGAACTGATGATCAGTTTATAAACATGCCTTTTATTAATAGTTATTCACATATAGTTCCACGTTTGAACTATCATATATGGAAATATTTAAGCATTCTAAGTAGTGTTTCAACTAATGCTATTTCATCAGAAAATATTTCATACCTGTTACCAGCAAACAACTTGATAAAAAACTTATTTTTATAATTTAATATAGAGTTCAGTCCAAACGAGTTTAACAACCGCTTATTCCAATGCTGACTCACGCAAATAAATATGTATAAAGTTTCGAAACTGAAAGCTGGCGCCCCTAATCATGAGAGGCTGCAACACATCATTACGACCCGCGATGAAAAAAAAAGAAACACTAATTCAAAAACTGTAACTTATACAGACATTATTCAATGCTAAACACCTTAAATTGCACAATCTGAATTTTAAAATATTTTGCCGTTCCATTCAAACATCATGACATCAAATGATGGACCCTAAAATATAGTAAGTCCAATTATAAAAGAAATTGCTGACAACAATGGACAATGAAAGGATAATTCTTAAATCCTTATCTTATCAGACAACAAAAGATCTTTTCGTATTAGCTTCACTTCTCAACAAATCTTTTGCAACCTTTTATGCCTTCTGTTGTACTTCATTGTATATTTCACTTATTTTGTAATGAGATAACATAATTAGATGTGAAGCCTTGTCTAAGTCCAATGACATTTAAAACATTATTTTTTTTAGAACAGGGAGGATCTGTAAAAAAAGATGTAGCAATGCAGTTATATTATTAAAAGAGTCATGAGTTGTTTTTCCTGCGTCAAGACATAAAAACTGTGATATTGATCATTATATTACTAGCTGGTGATGTTCTCATCAGCAATACTCAAGTCAAGTACCATCTTTGAAGAACGTCTCTTGAGTGAACTAAGGCCGTCAGCTGTGACCAACCTTAAGTTATAATAATACAAACAACCTTCTTTAATAACTGAACAAGTGTTTAGCTTTCATCAGCTTCTCATGAGATAGTAAAGGGATATTTGAAGCATGTCGTCCGAGCTGCCTCATTACAAACCTTATACGGATTTGTACATCTCGCTCAGCCTGCCCGCTGGGGAACTTAACTTCCATAAATATATTAATATCCATGAATATATAAATATATTTACCTATAAAGTTTTAACTGTTCTGAATAAGAGAATGATTACTTCATGATTTTGACTAACTGAAGTGTCAATTTTATTTGAAATATTTTTTTCTGACAGGCAGTACTGTCAAAAGGCAAGAGGAATGAGTGCTATAAAGATAAATAATTTAATCAATTAAAATAAAAAATTTACTCCCCTCCCTCTCAAAATAGGAGGTTTTACGTTTCAGGAGAATCAAATAATTTTACGTAGAATTCGAAAATCTAATAAAAATTTTGTTGTCCGTCTGTCGTCCGCGGCTTTTCTCCAATTCAATTAGACCGATCTTTTTCAAATTTGGAATTAAAGCCAGAGGTCACCCGAGGACAATCCTCCTACCTCGACATTACTATCCGCCATTTCCTTCCAAGATGGCGGCGGAAAAAGCAGTGTTGGTATGGACTTTAGCGCCTAAACGATTGTACCAATTTAAATAAAACTTGGCTAAAGTCTTCTCCTCATGACCTTCAAATTAATCTATATAACAAACTTCAACGAAAAGAACCTCGAAAAAACGTTACGATGGGATAATTGGATTTCCGATTAACTCAAAAAGTATACAATTTTTTGTTGATATGGTTATTTATGAGTTTATCAATTTTAATATTTTAAAAAAATCGTTGAAATCGTCCAATCTGGAGCAAAGATATGGAGTTTTAATATGTTTTATATGTTCTAATTCAGTGCTAATATATTTATTTTGGTTGATGAGTTTTTTAATGTTTTACATCAAATGTTTTTTTTTTTTTGTTTTTTTTTCTTATGCCATTCGTTGGTCATTTGGCCATCCGACATCTTGCTGCCCAGTATAATTTAGATTTTCTGCTATGTATAATCATCAAATGTAGTAATGCTGACTATTTCTTAAGCAAATGAGGAATGATAAAAAAAAAAAAAAGTTAGGAATCCCTTTTTATTTACTATCCTTAATATTGCATGGAAAGTAATCTTAATTTTGATATTAAATTGTTTGGAAAAAATAAACCATTGTGTAATAATTCGCAGAGTTTATTATCTCTCATTAAATGTTTCACAAAAATATTTTTGTTCGATTTGTCATTCCTTTTTTGTGCAGCATCGGTGAGATTCAGTGTATGAATGAATTTATGTTTCAGATTTTGTCAACTTTAATTTTACTTGTTAATTTTTAACATTATTATCGCTAGAACGCGTTGTTTTACTTATTTATACGAAAAAAATGTTTAAAAAACCTTTTGAATCCTCAATTCAAATTTTCTACTTGAAATCAACGGATATTTGGTGACAGACTATTATTTCATGTCGTGAATACTAAATACAGTAAATACTATAAATTTAAAGGGTTAGTGGCTTTCGACATCTATAAGCCCAGTTTATAGATTATCTATCTATTTGGCCGCCATTTTGTATTCCAGCGGCTATATGATGGCAGACGTTCATTTTTCTCACCAGGCCTTATGGTATGGTACAATTTATAAGGAAAAACCTTATTATGATATAACACATTTTTTTTTGCCACGCGCTTCCGGACCATAGTTCTCGTTTAATAAATATAATATCAAAACATTATTTTTAAAATTACTTTTTTTGTTGGAAACTTAAATATTACTCTTTTTTTCCAGCCCAACCCTATTCATCTTTATTTAGAAGATGTATAATAAAATAATAATAATAATTTTTGTTTTATAAAAAGTATTAATTTGACAATTATTAAATATGGGTGTTAAGTTATCTATTGATGCTATCAAAGATATGGGGTATATATTAATAAACTATATATTATATTTATTAATTACTGTAAGTTTATACTAAAGATGATGGCAATATGATCAGGTAAAACAGTAACCACTCTTATATTCTACCATCTTTGCTAATTTAGATTCTTTTCCAATCAATATATTGGCGAACAAACTTACTATCTCAACCCGTAAATTCCAGAATATCATATTTTATACAAGGACTTTATGACATGAAATGGGTACTACTTACGTACTTTGTTTCAAACCAACCAACCACAACCAAACAAACTTTAAGTGAAACCTAATAACATAACTAAAGATTCAGAGGGTAATGTGTAATAAAAAAACTGTTTAAACAATATTTTAGTAAAAACAATCTGTAATGTCCAGGATTTCGGCGAACAACGTAAACAATAAAATCAATAAATACAACTCCTAACTCCAGACTAGAGATCTCTTCCCAGTCTGTCTATGTTCTCGATGACCGAATCGATGAAAGCCTCATCCCGTTCTGGGCGACAGGTGATGACCAGGCGGAAGAAGTTTCTCAAGTTCTTGTGGTCCAGAGGCTGATAACCAATCATAAGGCAACCGTCTAAGACCATCTTCTCTTTTAGTTTAGGTGCCACCTGTGAAAACAAAATATTGTACTATAACAAACATAATATGAAATAATTTTAATTATATTAATATTTATTAAAAAAATTAAATGTTGCAGAGCTTATTAATACGGCATCTATAATGCCGTGGAATTATTTTATATTGTTGAATTATCAACAGTTTTTTATTGTTTACACCTTTCAATTTTGGCTACATTTTCCTAAATGAAAGGACTTTCACTAACCTTGCTGTTGCTCTTATGATTGTTCACAACTTTCATTTATATTTCCTAAAATGGTTCTCGACTAGAAATTCATTTTCAGTCTATTCTCTTCTTAATGCAAAACTTTGTTTCAGATTGTAATATACACCTTTTTTAATTATGTTCCAAACCCCTAAATCCCTAAATGAAAGTACATTACCAATACATTTGAAACCACCGAATTCGAATTAATTTTGATGTTTAAGTTGAGAGTCTTTTCATTATTCAACTTTTTTAGCGCTCAATGTCGGCGAGTTTTATGGTAATTTTCATTTTATAGTTGTCAATTGTTTTAACAAATTTTCTCACTATTTAGGATATCCATTGTGAGAACAAAACATGTAGAGCAAAACATCATCATCATTTTAGTATTTATTTTGTTTTGATATCCTCAAAAGTACCTGCGCTATAACTCATTCATATCACACATTCCTATAAAACATCTGGTGTACATATCACACATTTTTCACTTACCGCTCTACTTTGAATAGAAATTATTTTCTGGCATTGTTGGGCTATTATCAAATTTTTGAAGTGCATTTTAAACGGAGCTAAAGCTTAAAAGCTTACAGATAACAAATCATTAAGACCATCAAAATGATAAAAAGTCTATTTATTACATCGAAGGTAGGCAATCAAAATCTAGTTTCTCGATCTGCTTTTATAAAGCACTTTTATAAACATATCCATGAAATAATTTTATATTTCAATTCTTCTTTCACACAAGTAATTAAATAGTATTTTAAACAGTGGCATTGGCTTCATTCGTTGGATTTTAAATACTTTATTTTTCAAACTTTTTATTTTAATATGAAAATTTCATTTAATTTCTTTGGAGACATGCAATTTACGTTAAACAATGTTAGTTTTATGAAATTATTATTTATGTTTTTTATGTCACTCGCCGTTACCTTCTACAACTTTATTTATTTTATATTATTTTTTTCTAAAATTATCCGCATTCCAACGATATATTATAAGTATACCTTCTGACTATTATTTCCAGAGATTCATATTCAACATGGATAAACATTTTTTTTTTCTCCAGTTTCCAACTATCATATTCTATCAAAAATCATATTTAGCCATTTTTTATAGTTACTGTCAATAAAAGAGACAGGTTATTTATTTTTTTATATAAACCATATTGAAGGTACTTTAGAGGAAGACGCACACGAATATAGGGCATTTAAGCCCTGTAATGTGACATTAATGGGGATAAGACCTATATGATATTAAAGACCACTTAAATGTACAATGATACACCGAGTTTAATCAAAATCGTTGGAGCCGTTTTTGAGAAAATTGTAAAAATGTGCTTCACCATTGATATAAAGTGACACTTCTGATTTTAAGAAAAAAGTTGCTGTCACATCTAAGGCATCTAAATGCCTATCTTAAATACGTAATATCAGTATCGTACGACTTTTCATTTTTGATCTACACTGTTCACATACACACATACAGACACAAAGACTATTTTCGGGACTTGGTTATTTTGACTCAGGGGACCTCAAAACGTGTATATGTTGAAAACTTATATTCGAAAATTTTCACGATCGCAATACTTTCCCTTATTATCCATTACGTATATAGGTAAGTGATAGTAAAAAGGACAAAGTTTCCAATATTGAAATTCTTAAATTTTTATTAACTATGGTCCAGAACTCGCAAATAAATATTAAATAACCGGTTAAAAAATCAAAAATGTCGAGCAACTTGGTCTGGATGATTTCAAATTAATGTACCCAGTATTGAAATATTTATTTAATTTTGTTTATTTTTATTACAGGCAATCTAAGTAAAGGTGAATTTTTGCTAATACTAGATCATGCTGATATTTCTAATATTAATAATAACTGTTCAATTTAGAGTTAAAATAGATGATCGAGAATGTAAATGGTCCTTAATTTTAACTATATTTGCTGGAGCTTTATGTTTTAAAAGATCTAGAGTAGTAATTAAAAAAAAAAGTGTATTTCAGTCTTAATTGTTTATCTGCAAATGTGAATAAAAAATACCGCCATGGATTTACAGATAAAAACAATATTTTGTTTAAAAAAAAAATGAGTAATATTTGTTTTGAGCAAAACTAATTTATATATATATATATATATATATATATATAAAGATATGTTTCAAAATGGCTAAAAATAAAAAGACGTCACAAATAAATAGACGTGCGATATAAATAAATATTTAATTATTTATAAAGAATTTTATTGTTTTTGCATCTTTTTTTGGGGATTGAAAACAAAAATTTTTCATTCTTAAATAAAATAGAGATATTTTATAGAAAAAAAAGTTAAATCATCCTAAAATATATTATTTTGTAAATATTAAATGGTTGCGATTTTACAATATATACTGTATCTAATTTTATACGTGTAATTTATCAAATTCAAACTAGTTAATCTGTTACCACTTGTGACCAATTTATTCATATATTATGTGATCGAATCAACCATAAGTAATGTTTCCGTCAATTCCGGGAAAAAAATAAGAGATTTTAAAATGTAAAATCTACCATGGGAGCAAGGGAATAATAATGTGGATAATTAAACAGTTCATTAAGCCAATTTAATTAGCACCGAATTCTTGATAATTTAGGATAATCGTAATATCCTAATATTCCTGGAGCTAATAAACGCCGAATTAGCAATGTGAGGCATAATTAAAAATAAGAAAAATTTTTTAAAAAATTTGAAATATTTGTTTAAATGTAGGTTGTACAAGTCAAATTCTAAGCAAAGCATTTTAATTATTTGTGCCCGATTATTATCATTTATAGAAGCAAAGAGGATTCTAGAAGTAAAAATTTAATATGTGATTGTATCACAAAAAATGTCAATATTCCGTTATAATATTATTAAAACTTGATTAGATTTGATGTGTGTGATTTCCATTCATATTATAATTTATGCAGACCACACATGTAATTTATCAGTGAATAATGAGCTTCACTAATATTTCAATACCCCATCAGAATAAATAGTCTACCTTCAATAATCTAGAATCAATATTTTTACCTGGAACTAACTATTATATATTATATTTAATTTAGTATAATTATATGTGAGTATGGTATAAATATATGACAATATTATTTCATTATTTTGATGCATATCGTGAGAAAAAAATGTATTACTAAAAATATACTTTATGTTTGTTAAACCACATTCTAAAAAAAAAGTTCATTCAATAAATTTTATAAAACGTATAAAATGAAATACGTATATTATTATTATAATATGGATATATATAGTCAAACAGCTTAGTTTGGTATCTTTGTTCAATAGGTATTGGAAATGGAAATTACTAAAATTTAATTTTAACATTTTTTAAATAATATTTATTTTTAAAAAATGTGAAAATTAAATTATAATAATTTTCAATACGCATTGAATAAAGATCGATGGGCAAAAGCGCAGAAGTCGGGGAGAAGTAACAATTAATCTACATAAATGAATGAAATATGTAAACTAAAATCAATTAAGAAAATAGGAAAAATAAATTAGATGGGTAAGCTAAGGCCTAGAAGTAGGTAAGCAAGTATCTTACCACGCCCTATGTTCCTATTATTGACATTTCAGTTTATATTCAAAGGTAATAATTATAAGTAATAACATATCCTAGAATCGTATGATTCATACATGTGCGCCCTTCAATTTTTACGACACTGTGTGGTAGACTGTCTCTCCTCTGGGTTGGAGCTCGGAATGTACTGTATGGGAATCTTTCTCGACGTTGAACAAGCGTTTGATAGAGTCTGGCATCGGGACTGATGTACAAACTCAGTTAATTCCTACCATCTACATACTTGGGTTTGTAAGTTGGGAGTTTAGAGCGTTTGTCTAGTAATTGCTCCAGTAGTCGAAAACGTCGGGCTGTTTCTAGTCGTTTCAATCTGGTATGTGGGTTCCAAGTGAGTTCTGAACAATGCTAATTCATCTCTTTTTTCTTGTTTGCTCAAGGTAGTAACCTAGGTCCTATCCTTTATAGAGTTTATATAGCTGACATCCCAACCCATTCCAACACTGTCATCACCACCTATGCTGATGACACATGTATCCTATCAGTTAATAACGACCCATCTATTGCATCCTAAACTCTTCAATCGCACATCACAAGTCTTGAAAAATGGTGTCAAAACTGGAGGATTAAAATAAATTCCAATAAATCCCACCAAATTACCTTTACTCTTCATCGTAAACCTATGACTTCCTGTCCTACAGTATCCTTTAACAATACCCCACTTATCCCTGTTGAACAAATCCGATACCTAAGACTCCACCTGGACAAACGACTCACTTGGAACCCTCATACCAGATTGAAACGGCTAAAAACAGCACGACGTTTTCGACTACTGCAGCACTTACTATACAAACGCTCTAAACTACTAACTATTTACAAAAGACTCATATATATTGCTATAATAAGGACCTATTTGGACTTACGGGATCGAGTTTTGGGGCTGTACTAAACCATCAAATTCCTTACAATGCAAAATCCTTCGTAAAATTCTCAATGCTCCCTACTTTGTCACAGAAATAAAATCATCCTTAACGACCTTAATGTACCACATGTTTCCGATTTAGCTCAATCCAGATACCTATTCTTCCATAATAAACTTCTAGGAAGTATGTAGGTTGTCAGAAATAAAATCATCCTTAACGACCTTAATGTACCACATGTTTCCGATTTAGCTCAATCCAGATACCTATTCTTCCATAATAAACTTCTGAACCATCCGAACCCTCTTGTTTCCAACCTAGCTTTCTCTTTTATTCCTGATAATCCTCCGAGGCGTCTGAAAAGAAGATGGCCCCCGGATCTTCTAATATAGAAATGTAATTGGAGTGCTACCAATGAATAGCTTCTCTTCATGTATTATATGCCATGTTACTTGTTTGATATTTACTTGTTGTATTTGTCATTTAATACAGTTGTAAATTTCTATAATAAAAAAAAATTACCAGAAGATTCTATCAAATTTCTCGCGGCAAATAGAAGCATTTTTATATAAAAATGAAAATATGTATTATATTCGATTGCTTTATTGAATTATTTTAAAATCCCCTCCCCTCCCCTCCCCGTCGTATTTGAAGATTCCATACTTATTATGCCTAATAAAAAAAACAAAAAAAAATGCATACTGAACATGAATTTCAATACTGTTAGTGCAAAAGGTCTTACGTACAAATATATTTATTGTTTTACAAGAGTGCATAAAAACTCATCACTTCTTTATGCTTTATTAGAATAATTTCATATTTTATTGTCATCTGCTATTTTCCATAGTAGCAGACTACTTATATCAGATGCAGACTACAAAATGTCACACACATTTAATACACACAGAATTAAAGCTGAAAATTTTTACATTCGAACTTTTGCTCTGATAATAGTGATTACACTACCGGATCTAGATTAAATTTTAGGGGAGGGGCTTCAGCCCGTAAAATATTTATATATATATATATATATATAATATAATATGACGATAATTAATTTGAAAAAAATCCACTACAAATTATTTCACTATGGTATATTATTTCCAAACAATTATACATATAAAGTAACATTAAATTCCTAGTTATAAAGAAAAATAAATAAAAGGTGATTCCAATTATTGGACTAAACTTTTTTTTAATCATTAGTAATATGCTAAAAAATAGCATTACTTCAGTAACACATTCAAAAATCAAAACAAAAGATAAACCTTTTGCAATAGCACATCTAAAAAAAAACTATAGACCATATCTTTGCTCCTAATTGTCCGATTTTAACGATTTTTTTTTTTTTTTAGGAAATTCCGCAAACTTATAAAAAACCATATACAATATTCACAAAAATGTGTATACTTCTTGAGTTATTCGGAATTTAATTTTACCATCCCTCGTAACTTTTTCTTGAGCTTCTTTTCGTTGAAGTATGTTATATAGATAAATTTAAAAAGCGTAGAGAAAATGACTTTAGCGAAGTTTTATTAAAATCGGTACATTCGTTTAGGCGTTACAGTCTATAGCAACGCAGGTTTTTCGGCAGTCGTTTTGAAACAAGAAAGCGAATAGTAATGTCGTTGAAGGATGATCATCCTCTGGTGACCTCTGATTTTATATCCAAATTTAAAAAAATCGGTCCAGTAGTTTCGGAAAAAATGCGCGGACGGCGGACAGCGGGCTAGTAGTGCATATATAAGAGAAAGTGGTGGACAGAATTCAATAAAATTGACACTACGTTATTTTTTCACCAAAGTCTACCTTTTATCTAACTTTGAGCCAAATCGAACGAGCCCTTTCTGAAATATTGGCATATCTAAAAATATACGTTTGCGCGTGCGTAAGCGGAAGTGCTGGGTGGAATTTGATAAAATTGATATGGGACCATCTAGGCACCAATCAGCATAATCCCTGAAAATTTCATGAAGATAGGATGAACGGTACTAGGTGATATGCCCGTCACATCGATTTGACTACAGACAGACAGACAGACAGACAGACAGACAGACGGACAGACACCGAACCAAATTTGATCCTTGATGTCTGAAACGTAAAAGGCGAGTGAAAATTTTCGATTTTGAGCAAAAATTTTTTTTTAATTTCTCGCACGAACACAATGCTTCCCTACCTTCGGTAGTGAGGAAGCAAAATAAAAACTAATATATAAACATACTCATGTTTAATGGTACACAAGATTCCTTAGATTCATTAAATTAATTAATAATAAAAGTATTTTAATATTTACTCTAATAATATTAATTAATAAATCATAATCTAAGATCTGGTATAGATAGCTGTTTTTGAATCAATGATTTTTATTTTAAAATACTGTTGTCAGCATCTACCAACCAGCCTGATTTAACTTTACTATATATGTACTATTTTACAGAGGATTCAATAACTATAAGATACTATAAGGAATACTCTATACAAAGTAGTTGTAGAGCAACATAAATGTTAATTTACCAAAACCTTAGAACAGATAATATAATGAATTAATGTATGATAAATATATTGAATAAATAATTATGTACACGTAAATATAAAATATATTCATGGAGCGGGTTAAATATTGACCACTTCTCGGTCACAAGGCTAATCGGTCACTGAATTTAACCACAACGGGTCCCAAAATGTGGATTTGTTTCTCGCTAGATAAGGAGAAATCGGCAACAACATTTGCTAATTAATATTTCACAGGAAGATTTAAATAAAGAGAAAGAGGACATGAAAATGGATTTTCAGATGATGTAGTTCAGAAATATATTCAATGTCAGAGTTCTGATTTTAAAATATGTTTTTCAATAGGAACTTGTTAACTTCAATACCTGTTAAATTCAATTATAATTCGATTTTATTTATTTATTTTTACTTTCCTACCTTTACTAGGTAACGAAAGTATTGCGATTGGGTCAAATTTCCGATTTGCGGTTTTCGTCGAATCTGTACGTTTCAGAGCCTTCTTAGTCCGAAAAAGACATTTTCAGCCATTGGTCTGTCTTTCTGTGCCAAGATTATCTCGGGAAATAGTAGACTGATTTTTTCGCTTCTTTATTTTTATTTTGGTAGGCTTTTGAATATTGATGCCTGTGACAAATATTGGGTGCTCCTGGGCAAGATTATGAGTTCAAATCTCGGTGTCAGAAATGGGAGAGAAAAGTAAGTGAAATTAAAAAATCTTGAGCCCTCATCACACAGGTTTCACTATTTCCTCTACTTTTAACAGAAATTCTTGTTTGACAAAATTGGGCTTTGATTAGAAAATTGGGATTTGATTTGATTAGCAATACTAGAGTGTATAGAATTTTTTACACTGATATCCAACAAGCCGGTTTACATTGCTTTAGTTTATCAAATGAATCGTACTCAAATCTTTTCTTTGATCAATTTTCAGGAAAATAAATCTATTCAATTTTTTTTTTTTAATTTCTTAGTAGACATATTTAAAGATAAAACCCTGTTCTGAAATAGTTAGGAAAGTCGTGTTGAATGGACACACCAAATTTTTTAAAAATTATTTCTGATAAATGAAATAATGCGAAATTTAGAGAATAAAGTTAAGGACGACTAATGCCAAAAACATTTGTTAAATCTGTTTTGTTTTTTAATTTTATTTTTTTTAAATAATGCACCTTTGTTGTTGAACAAAGATAAAAATTCAAATATTTATGTTTCAAGGTACGTAGAATTGAAAATATACTAAAAAAACAATTGCCCCAACACCGGATATAACTATACTGTTTCATTATTTCTCTCAATTAAAACTGCTAATATTCACTATTGTTTATAGATTTTTATTTTTTTTGTGAACCTAATTTTTTAAGCGTTAAGAACACTTTGTTTAGCAATAATAAACAAACCGCAGCTGCGACTGTTGCCACCTTTTTTTGGAAAAAGGACTATTCAAGGACACTAAGTCAAAAGACTTAGTGACTATTCATTGTTCTAAATTAATAATAAAAACAATATTTAAGAAGTAAAATCACAACACAATTTAAACATATGTAATTATCTTCCGAAAACTGAATATCTTAATAAAACTAAAGCCACTCACAGCATGTACTTGCTCCCACCAGGCTTGGTCCTCAGTCTTGTTCCTCAGCCTCATTGGGATGTACCAGAAGCAGATATTGGTGCACTGGAACTCCTCTAACACCAGTTTGAATCCTATCCGATCGCGAATTTTTTCTAGGAAATATCTGAAACCGAAACTTTGTATTACTATACTCTCAAAACAATATCAATTGCACAAATTTGAAATATAAATATTACTCCGTGCTATAGACGTTTCTTACAATTGTGATTGTTACCGTTATAACAATAAATAGTCAAATGATCTTTAATATCACATATCACATATTATTATTATTAAATATATAGTCTGATAAATATTAGTCCGTTGTACAGACCCCTTCATATCATATTACGAACACCCCCCTGAAACTTCGAGAATAGCTTTAACTCATCGTAACCTACAAATATTTTATTTACGACAACTCTTGGAATTGGAACATTTTCAATTTGGGAGCGACAAACTTTGTTTATTTAATAAAGTACTAAAAAGGTATGAACAGCCATTTGCTTTCCACTTGAGTCGTAAAATAATTTGATCACAAAATATAAAAAAGGATGGCCTAAAAAATATTGGGCCGTATGGCGTGAAATCTACCCCAAACATTTCAAAATAACGAGAATATAAACGCCAAACGGCCCAATATTTCTGTAGACCTAGGAAAGCAAATGTATATTTATGAGTTTATAATACCTCATTAAATTAATTAATTTGTTGAAAAACGCTCCATTTCTAAGAATTTTTGTTAATACAAATTTGTAGGTTACTATAAGATTCGCGAAATTTTATTAAGCAAAATCCCGTAATATTAATTTGACAAAAAGAGGTATGTTATATATGTCTTAAACTCGATTGTATTCGAAGTACAATTACTTCTTTAATGCTCTTACACTTATAAATAAGGTGAACTCAGTACGTTCTTTGACGTTGACGGAGTCATCTGCAAACACTTTTTAAGTCACTTAGCGTTTTTAATTCATTTTTAGTTATTGAACAAGATTTATATTCTACTACAGAAAAAAAAAGGGGAGGGAGTATAATAACTTGCACTTGTGGCAGGAATTAATTAATGCTTCAAATATTTTTCCATATGATACTTTAATTAATAAATATACAAATCAAATAAAACAAAAATAAAATAAACTAACGGAAAATAATGAAGATAAATCAAATCAATCAAAGAACAGAACTTAAATATTTTAATATTCGGAGCGGTAGATATTTCAGGGCCGCTCTAAATTTTTCTATATCCTTTCTCTTTTTGACAATAAAATAAAAACTCCTGAAACGTGAAAGGACACAAACACGTGTTGAACAATGTTCTGTCTCAGCAAGGGACAGGCACGGACAAAAATATCCGATTGTATGGTTAAGTATTTTTAAAACGTATGTAAATAACGTTTTCACAAGTGAACTGACCATGTTCAGCGAAAGTTTTTCTTATTTTTTACTGCGAGGACAGAATTACTTGTTTTTTAAGCTGACATATGTAGATACCTATATATACATAACACGCATAGCTGAATTAAAGCAATAAGCATTTGAATAATGATAAGTAAAAGTATGATTTCTTTTTTCAGAAAACCATTTCATTACCTAATAGAAACATTCAGTTTCCATGATATATAAAATCCTACGATACTATTTAGTCAGTACTTTTTCAATAAATAATTTTGTCTCCTGTATTATTACGTATGACAAATAAAAAGACTGTGAACATTATAAATTAACACACAAATACAAAATAATATATAATTGTGAGTCCTCTTTTATATCTGATGACTTTAAACGTAAGAGTTTTCATGAGCACTACTAACTTTGCAGTAATTTCTTCAGGATTTTTTTCCCATTTTTCCAGAACTACTTTTTTAAATTCGTATATGTTCCTTATACGTCGTATCCTTTTTTTGGCGGTTGATTTCGTCCTAAAGGTTCTCTGTGAGATTTAAGAAGGGATTTTTGGACGAGACATTCCCTAAATGACCTATTGTGACCGAAGTTCGGCCAAATGAATAGCGAAAAAATAATTATAATAGATGAAAAATGTAAACCCTACGCTCAAACATAAAGGAAATAATTTTTTTTTTGTCTTGAAAATCAATTTAACAAATAATTTCAATACAATATTTATAATTCTAGTACAATATTATATATTGTATTAGTATTGATATCATGGTGAACAAAAACTCTGAATATTGAACTTCAGCTATTTAGATCTAAGGGTCATAGGAGGTCCGAAAAAAAAAAATAATAATCGTGCAAAAAATTCATAATCATGTTCTAGAGGTTCTAAAAATATTATAAAAAGCATCCCCGTCTTTCACTGACGATCTTCGATATAGTGCAAATATCTATTACTTTTAAGGAAAATATAAAATAAATAAAAAATATGTGCCCAACGCTATCTTTGTCTATTGCAAAAGCTTGATCTCGTAATCTTATTCCGCCTTCTCATACTTACATCATACATATATCATTCGAGTACTGGTTTGTTGAACATAATAAATGATAAAAGAATCATCAAAGAAAGCACACAAATATTCTGTACATCTGTCTACTGTATATTCGTTTAGCCATATAATGTATACTGATCCTTGTTTTCTTTTTCGAGATATTGGCACTTCCTTTCTGCATTTTTTCAATTTTTCGGTTCAATTTGGAGTTTTCCCTCATTTTGAGACCAAATACTAACAATCAGTTCATTTACCTAGAAGAACTTATAGCTTCATCCTTTCCATTTTTCTTTGTGCAGAGAGAATAATGCATTCAACATTATAATTTCCTATGTTTTATGATTTGGTCCAACTTCCGAACAAAATAAAAGGAAATAAAAATTATTTTTTTATTAGTGATATATGAGTTTTACTAAACAACCCATCAACTATTCATTATAAGTAGTTCAGATTAGGTATATATTATTTTAGTTTATAAAACAGGTATTAATATGACTCATTTCCGGGGAAGTATATACAATTAAAATTACCTCTAAGAATCAGTAAATATATAAAACAAAATGTTAACTTGCAAATATTAAATAAAAAAATCAAGATATTCTGCAAAGTATTTTTGAATTAAGTTTTATTATTATAATTTTATAATTTTTATAATAGAGGCTTTCTTAAGCAATCTCCGTATAGAATAAATGAAGTTAAATTAAAAAAAATAATAATAATGAAAAATAAAAACAAAAATAATAAATTTAAAAAAAAATAATTTTTTACAATTAAATTGTTGTATTAATATTTGTTCGTTAATATAATCAATAAAATGTAACAAAAATGTTATTATAGCACTATAACTAAGCCATTTATGAGTACTGAGTGGTGTGGTAGAGGCCTGTAGGCACCCACGCCAGTAGCGCTTTTCTGCCGCTTAAGTACATTTTATACGGAACTACTTCAAATATTTTAAAAAGTAATCAGTGTTTTAGAAAGAGAAATGTATTCTCCAGATGTTTTATTTCAGCACGTTTTGCATTATTGTTGACCGTTTAATTACAAACGACGCTTGATTTTCAACTTGAAAATTTTTTTGTAAAAAAGATTGACTTTAATAGCGATTTTTTTTAATGCCTAAGCCAATTAGTTTTTAATATTTTTTCATGTTTTATTATTCTCTGACTATCCAGCTTTAATAAAAGGACCAACTATAACGAAATTAAGCCAAATGCTGATTCTCAGTAACAAAAAAACTAACTAAAGTCAAGTCGTCAATCCGCCATGTTTGGACACCATTTTGGGGCAGTTCGTTCACTTTTGTTTGTGGGAACATTGGCTTTTTTTTAATAAATTGTCACAAGGAACACAACGATATGCAATTTATAGGGATGTGGGGGGGGGGGAGGTGCACGGTAAGGGGGTCTGGCCCACAGACTATTCAGGCCTCTACCACATCATTCAGTACTTATAAATGGCTTAGTTATAGAGCTATAATAACATTTTTGGTACATTATATTTATTGTATTAACGAACAAATATTGATGCAATAATTTAGTTGTTAAGAAAGATTAAACCCTTTTTTTTATTTTTTTATTTAACTTCCTTATTCTACACGGAAGTCATTTAAGAAGGCCTCTATTGTATAATGATATAATTATAACAATAAAACTTAATTCAAAAATACTTTGCAGAATATCTTGATTTTTTTATTTAATATTTGCAATTTAACATTTTGTTTTATATATTTACTGATTCTTAGAAGTAATTTAAATTGTATATACTTCCTCGGAAATGAGTCATATTAATATCTGTTTTATAAACTAAAATAATATATACCTAATCTGAACTGCTTTTAATGAATAGGTGAAGGATTTCCTTGTTTTCTTTTCCGAAATTTTGGCACTGTCGTTCGCTTAATGTATTTTTCCAATGTTTGGGTTCAATTTCGCGTTTTCCCTCATTTTGAGACCAAATACTAACAATCAGTTCCAGTTACATAGAAGAACACGAAACGACAGTGCCAAAATTTCGGAAAAGAAAACAAGGAAATCCTTCACCTATTCATTAAAAGCAGTTCAGATTAGGCATATATTATTTTAGTTTATAAAACAGATATTAATATGACTCATTTCCGGGGAAGTATATACAATTTAAATGACTTCTAAGAATCAGTAAATATATAAAACAAAATGTTAAATTCGGAAAAGAAAACAAGGATCAGTATCCATTATATGGCTAAACGAATATATAGTAGACAAATGAACAGAATATTTCAAGATTCTGCTAAAAGGGGGTAAAAATGTTTGATCAGTTTGGATGATATTAAGCAGGTTTATTATGGTGAAGACCATTTCATCAGCAAGAAAGATTTGTTCTAGGCAATTGGAAAGCAGGTCTGCAGGAAGTAAACGAGGTTGATAATGGTGTAAACCACTTTATTTTAGATTGTATTGAAGTTGTACATTGGGACTATCTTCACTTTGAAGCAGGTTATACAGAGGTCTATTGATAAAATGAAATAGCTGTGCTCCTCCTTAGTTTATAAAACAGATATTAACATGACTCATTTCCGGGGAAGTATATACAATTTAAATTACTTCTAAGAATCAGTAAATATATAAAACAAAATGTTAACTTGCAAATATTAAATAAAAAAATCAAGATATTCTGCAAAGTATTTTTGAATTAAGTTTTATTATTATAATTTTATAATTTTTATAATAGAGGCTTTCTTAAGCAATCTCCGTATAGAATAAATGAAGTTAAATTAAAAAAAATAATAATAATGAAAAATAAAAACAAAAATAATAAATTTAAAAAAAAATAATTTTTTACAATTAAATTGTTGTATTAATATTTGTTCGTTAATATAATCAATAAAATGTAACAAAAATGTTATTATAGCACTATAACTATTCAAAAGATTTTTGAAGGAATCTGAAAGGAAAACGAGCTTTTGTGAAAGACTAGTAGATATTCGATCAATCCAAAGTGTGAGGCACTAAGCAGATAGAGAACCATTTTTCTTTCTCTGTGGACTTCTCTATAACCTACCTTAAAGTGAAGACAGTCCCAATTTGCAACTTATGCTCCAATGTGCAACTTGAGTTTCTCAATCCATATCGCTCAGGCAATCGACAATATTTCTAATTTTAGCTTCTACGATTCTTGAGTAGACTTTCTTTGGTACTATAAACAGTAAGGAATCTCGAATAACATTTCCTAGTATCTCATTTCCTGTAAAGGGACAAAACTACAGTCCTTTCATATAATTTTCTAATACATTTGTAGCCTTTGTACGCACAGCATTTCGGGTTACTTCTTCCAGACCAGCTGACTTGCCAATTGCCTAGAACAAATCTTTCTTGCTGATGAAATGGTCTTCACCATAATAAACCTGCTTAATATCATCCAAACTGATCAAGCATTTTTACTCCCTTTTAGCAGAATCTTGAAATATTCTGTTCATTTGTCTACTATATATTCGTTTAGCCATATAATGGATACTGATCCTTGTTTTCTTTTCCGAAATTTTGGCACTGTCGTTCGCTTAATGTATTTTTCCAATGTTTGGGTTCAATTTCGCGTTTTCCCTCATTTTGAGACCAAATACTAACAATCAGTTCCAGTTACATAGAAGAACTTATAGCTTCGCCCTTTCCATATTTCTTTTGTGCAGAGGGAATAATGCACTTTAATATTAAAAGTTCCTATTTTTTATGATATGGTCCAACTTCCGAATAAAATAAAGGAAATAAAAATGGTTTTTTTAATAGCGATATAACAATTTTACTAAACAATCCATCACCTATTCATTAAAAGCAGTTCAGATTAGGTATATATTACTTTAGTTTATAAAACAGATATTAATATGACTCATTTCCGGGGAAGTATATACAATTTAAATTACCTCTAAGAATCAGTAAATATATAAAACAAAATGTTAAATTGCAAATATTAAATAAAAAAATCAAGATATTCTGCAAAGTATTTTTGAATTAAGTTTTATTATTATAATTTTATAATTTTTATAATAGAGGCCTTCTTAAGCGATCTCCGTATAGAATAAATGAAGTTAAATTAAAAAAAAATAATAATGAAAAATAAAAACAAAAATAATAAATTTAAAAAAAAATAATTTTTTACAATTAAATTATTGTATTAATATTTGTTCGTTAATATAATCAATAAAATATAACAAAAACGTTATTATAGCACTATAACTAAGCCATTTATGAGTACTGAGTGGTGTGGTAGAGGCCTGTAGGCACCCACGCCAGTAGCGCTTTTCTGCCGCTTAAGTACATTTTATACGGAACTACTTCAAATATTTTAAAAAGTAATCAGTGTTTTAGAAAGAGAAATGTATTCTCCAGATGTTTTATTTCAGCACGTTTTGCATTATTGTTGACCGTTTAACTACTAACGACGCTTGATTTTCAACTTGAAAATTTTTTTGTAAAAAAAATTGACTTTAAATACCGATTTTTTTTAATGCCTAAGCCAATTAGTTTTTAATATTTTTTCATGTTTTGTTATTCTCTGACTATCCAGCTTTAATAAAAGACCAACTATAACGAAATTAAGCCAAATGCTGATTCTCAGTAACAAAAAAACTAACTAAAGTCAAGTCGTCAATCCGCCATGTTTGGACGCCATTTTGGGGCAGTTCGTTCACTTTTTTTGTGGGAACATTGGCTTTTTTTTAATAAATTGTCACAAGGAACACAACGATATGCAATTTATAGGGATGTGGGGGGGGGGGGGGGAAGGGGTGCACGGTAAGGGGGTCTGGCCCACCGTGTAGAAGGCACCTACTCTAGTATCGCTTTTCTTCCGCATATGTGCGTTTTCTACGGAACTACTTCAAATATTTTTAAAAGTAATCATTGTTTTAGAAACATATTCTACAGATGTTTTATTTCAGCACGTTTTGCGTTATTGTTGGCCGTTTAATTACAAACCACGCTTAATTTTCAACTTGAATTTTTTTTGTTAAAAAGGTTGTTTTTAAGGGTGTTTTTTATTGCCTAAGCCAATTATTTTTTCATGTTTTATTATTTTCTAACTATTTAGCTTTAATAAATGACCAGCTATGACGAAATTAAGCCAAATGCTGATTCCCAGTAACCAAAAAACTAACTAAAGTCAATGTCGTCAATCCGCCATGTTTGTACATCATTTTGGGGCAGTGCGTTCACTTTTGTTTGTGGGACATTGGCTTTTTTTTAATAAATAGTTACAAGGAACACAACGATATGCAATTTATAGGAATGTGGGGAGAAGAGGGTAGGTGCATGGTAAGGGGGGGGGGTCTCGCCTACTGTGTAACATGTTTGAGGATTAAGGCTAGTTAGGCAAAAATGGGTATGGAACTAGCATTTAAATTTTATACCAACAATATGATACCGACCTTAGGCATAAACTTCTCCGTAGATTGGAATGGCTGCTATATAATTCTCCAAAAGCTCAATCCAGTGTCAGACTAATTCCTTCGAAACTTTAAAGGCTCACACCAATTCATAGCATAGATCGCAGACTTCGTAAGGGAGTTAGAGGAGAGGCCATCGCTTTTCCGATAAAAATGTTGAGGGGGCAAGAAAATCGTTTTCCCCTTCTCCCACCCCCAATAATTTAACATAAAAGTTATGTGAATGAATAAAATATGTTAACTAAAATCGATTAAAAAATTTGACTAGTTGGCTAAGCTGAGACCGCTAGGTAGATAAGTAACTATTTTATCACGACCTAAATATTACTTTTATTTAAATTTTCATTTATATTCAGGAATAATAGTATAGAAATATGTCTAAGGATTCTATGATTCATTCACCTCTCGTGTAGGCTCCTGTAGACCTCCATTTTCACGAAATTTTAAATGTTCTGCGATAAAGTTGGAAAACGTGGAAAAAGAAAAATCTGTGAATAGGATTCATAGCTGCAGAATCGAAATACAAGGTCTTAAAACTAAATTATTGAAAAAACGATTTAATTTGAATTTGACCCAATAAATTCTAAAAAACCTGAAATGAAACTAATAACAAAGGACTGCATTCAAGATATTACTATTAAACACTTAATTTGAGCTGAAGTAGCATCTTCCACAGTTTTGATATAATCTTTGCTGTGATATTAAACAGACAATGAAGATAATAGATAGAGATTAAAATAAGAGATACATCTTTTATTTACAGCTAGACAGTGTTATATTGTTATAATTTGTTCAAATTATTAAAAAAAAATTAACTGAAATAAGTTAATAAGTGAGTCTCTAACAGTTTATGCATGTTTATCAGTTCACTTGGAACAAATAAGGTATCATATATTTTGGAATTGTCCAGTAAAATTTTTGAAAATAGATTGAGCCTGTTTTGAAACTAATCCCTCCCCCTTCCACCATGTGGCTACAAACCATTGATCAATTAAAGAAACGAATTTCCAAAATAGGCTTGTATTATTTTTATAAAGGGTTTACTGAAATTTCTAAACAGCTAGTTTTTTTTTAATTATATGTAATTGAAGAAATTACTTATAAGAAGTGGTACAATTTTCAAAGTGCTACGTTAAATATTTCTGGTTGATAAAATAAGTGATTAAAATTACTACTGAAAAAAAAAAAAAAAACCTTATCAACAAATGCTTCAACATGAATTATAAAAAAAAACATCTCTCCATGACATTGTTGATCTTAATAAATAACATATTAAATTAAACAACAAATTGTACCACTATATTCAATACTTAGTTAGAAAATACTGCGTCAAGGCCAACGGTTGTGCAGGGTGGTGATTGAGCCAGCATTACACTCAACCATCAGGTTTTCTCCCTTAATTAATTATTTTAATTAAGATTACCCACTTTATAGAGGCTGTGTGTGTCCCAGGAGGGTCTCCCAACCCTAGACTCGATCCATAGCTGATGTCACTTGTCATCAGCTAGATTCGAACCCTGAAACTTCAGCTTAGGGCCCGGTGCTGAACCCATTGAGCTACTTCACTCCCTAAAGAATAGATTAATAATAAAAACAGGGACAATACATTACCTAGATAAGTGCATAGTATCATCTACAGCTCTAGCAAGACCAGAGTCACCCCGAGCTTTCCACAGCGTCCATAATTTAAGGGCATCTGTTTTTCTTCCACACTGAACACTTTTGTCTCCTGAATCGAAGGAAACATCATACATTTTGTCCTGCTGGAACAGGTAGGTAGCTCCAGCACGGTTTGCAGCATTCAATAAACCCTTAGGAAAAGAAAATGAGAAAATGTCATAAATGAGTTTATTATTAAATATGTTAGGTTATTCAATTTATTTAAAGTTCAGACAGGTATCGAAGACTCAAAACAAACAATTATGCATTGTTTTTAAACTTACAAAACCAAGGAATGACTATTGCAGTAACTCCTACCATTTCACACAAAGTGGTTATTTGTGGATAACATAAAACTATCATAACTTGTATCACGTTATCTAATATTCATCTTTAAATTTAAATTTAATTTTCAAGAAGTTTCCAAAATAATGGATAAAAATTAAAAGCTAATTAATAGGATATTTGTGACTAGATTTATAACTAATATAAGTTGCAAGATCTAAATAGGATGATCATCATTTATGATCATTCAATGTCCCTACAAACCCACTACCTGACTCAAACCTGTGCCCTAAACCACAAAGTGTCTTACAAAGCTGCCTTTGTCCTCTCCACAACCTTGGCATTGGTAAGTAATTTTATGAACATGGAATGGTTGAAAATACTTAAAGAAAACCTACAGTACTTCATTATACTGTATTTTTTTTAATACAAAACTATATGAGTTACAACGGACATCTGTCATTTTCAAAAAGTGGAGAAAAATTCAATTCTTGTTTTATAGATTCGTCTAAAACTGGTCCAGATGATTTTAATTAAGAATGTTTAAGTTTGAATCATGAAAATAAATCATTCGATTTGGTTTCACTTGAAGCTACTTTACGAAAATTGGCTTCTTCTCACCTTTTTAAAAATAAGATGTCCGTCTTTGATATGAGACCACTCCTATGTTGTTTTATCTAGAACAGGTTGTAGAAAAAACAGTACGTTTTAAAGATACTTATACCAAAGGGAAAAATACCTAAAATATTTATTTACTGACACATAGAATTTCACTTATAGCCCATTTGTCCAAGAATATTATCATCGTGAAAGATACAATTAAATTTTAGAAGAAATGCAAAGCTACCTTTTCCTTGACTAGTATCATAGAACATTGCAATGGAGCTCCAAGCATCTTATGAGGATTCCATGAAAAAGAATCAGCCCTAAAATAAAGACAAAAACCATTTATTTCATAAACAGAAACCATAAAGACAAAAGTATAATTTTTTTTTTCTTGAAATATGATCTCACCTCTCTATTCCTTTCAATAAGCGAGAATGTTTTTTTGAAAAAACTACACTTCCTCCCCAACATCCCTGAAAAATATTTTTCTCATATATCTTTCAATGTCATAATATAAAATTATTTGGATTGCTTAATTATCTAAGATTATATTAAGACTGCTATAGATGAGTAAAATAAATACTGATGAGAGAAATACATTCACAGGTCATGGATAACTGTATATATAACTCTTCACATTAATATATTAAGATGGTGAATAGTTATATCTCTGTTTCCAATTAAAAGTGAAATTATGATAATAAGAAATATGATTCTGAAGGCTTATTATTAATTTAATTAAAATTAAAAATCAAAGTAATATAGCTTGTTTTTATTAGTAGTAATACTTAGTACTTTATTGGTACTTATACTTATTAGTACTTATACTTATTAGTACTTATACTTCTTAGTACTTATACTTTATTGGTAGTAATACTTATTAGTAGTAAAGGCAACTATGGTTAGATATGTTCTAAAAATTACATATGGGCAGTGTGAATTTGATTCCAAACTGGGTCATGAAGACCTTCCATAGTATGCGTTATAGATGTTTCCTTTAAAGCCATAGTTTCTGACTGGATATTTTACTTAGTATATCTTTATTTATAGGTTAGTAAGTCTATAATTTTAATTTATATATTCTATTTCATAAAACTTTTTAGGGCAGATGTTTTAAACTCATGACGTACAAATATAGGATGGGATTAAGATAAAATGTGTTCTTCAGACTTGAAAATGAATTGGCGATTTGCTATCAGCGCAAACTTTCCATTCCCAGTTTGGGGAGGGAGAAGAGTGATGGTCCCTCTCCTCCTTCAAAAAAAGTCTCTGGAATTTATATTATGTATAAAAATTGTATGTAATAATTAACAATCAACATAATTATTTTAAAACGAATTAAAGTATGTGTACAATAAGAACTAAACTGTATAATTATCATTGAATATAATTCTTTTTTTTTTTTAATGATATGGAATTGAAGGATTGAACAAGTGGCTTGCGTGAACAATAATGAGGTATAGAAATGTTAAGGACTGAGAAACTATTGAAACAGGAAAGTTGGAAGACCCAAAGATAGGTGGTTGAACCGATGGGTCACTGATTAGAGGAAACTTCACACACAAGAAATGGGAGAACTGTAATTCAGGACAGTCGTCTGGCTGTTGAGTGGGTTGTTGAGCTATCAAAACAGGGGTGCCCATCCTCCCCTCCTCCTCCAAGGCCGATGGCGCAGAAACCTTTCCCATCTCTCCCAACATATTTTATTCCTCTCTTGTTCTTAAAAACGTAGATTATATACAATTAATTAGACCTCCTGCGGTCTGTTCCATGCTCCCATTTGTCTTTTAAATTGAAACTTTTCATATTGAAAATTCATAACCCCATCGAAATGTGTCCTCTCAAAAATTGAAAAATAACCATCAAAAATATCCGAAAAATCTCATAAATTTTGATGGCGCAACTTGCGCCATGAAACCCCCTCTGGGCACCCCTGTATCGATACATGTAATAAATAATAGCAACAGCTGGAATGGTCGAAGCTGATTCGTTATTTTACCACCTATATACATAGTTCTATTAGTGACATGTAAAATAGGTTGTTTAAAGCTGATATAGAACCTAAAAAGAAATTGTGTTCAAGGGAAATGTACTGATTGATGGACACATTAGATATGTTTTTTGTAAGTCTAATTGGATGCTAAAATGCACCATAAAAGGTAAACGTTAACACATATTTGCACATTACATTTTCTCTTTAGATTTTTGTCAATTCCGATTTTGAGTTTTCAGTCTTACTAAACTGATGCCTTGAAATATTATTAACGGATATTTTTTTTGTTTAACTATACACCTTCATTTCGGAAAAACAAATTAGATCATAATGGTGTAAAGAACAGTTTTCAGCTAGAAAACAATGTTCTCATAACAGATCATTCCGTGAACTTTGTGGCGAACTAGATACAAACCTGTTTCATATAGTTCATTACAAGGATTGGTGACATAGATTTAAAAAATAGACACCTTTAAGCAAAATGTTGCTAGCAGAAGAGAGATATGGTGCATAATCTCCTCCACCAAATAATTAGAAATCTAAAATTTATTTTGTAATGATGTAGAGATTTGACCGCACCCCCCAAGTAACTCCTTCACATAAAATTTATTTTATTTGAGAATGTACTTAAGTACATTCAGAGAAAACTGTGACATAACATTTTTCGAAAAGATTTTTTAGAATTTAAACCAATGCCAATAATTTTTAAGTTAAAAAATTGTGATTTATTGTAAAGTGTCAACATTTGCACAAGGAAAAAGTTCAAATCCAAAAGAACTGGGAAATTTCAAATATTTTTTTACTGAATCAACACATAATAATAATTTAATAGTTTGACTGTTCTTATTTTCCTATATTCTGTGTTTGTTTCTTTAGCCCTATGTCATTTGTTAGTATCTATGTTTTTGCAATTTTTTTGTAATATCTGTTTCCTTAAAAATAAATATTTTATTTTGTTTAAATGTATTTTTGACAATTTAATGAATTGAATTAATTCTGAAGAACAACTACATTAATTTACGAAATAAAACTAAACAAAATTAAAAGCTGGGTAAAATACCACTTGAAAAGTTAGTGTGTATGACTAATCATACCAATTGAATATATTACACCTACACATATTTTTAAGCAGGAATACCTAATCTATATTTTAAATAACAGATTCTTTCATATATTTTGTTTAATTGAATAAAAAAAATAATAATTTACTAACATCTATATGCATCCATATCCCGTACTTTTCGCACACATCTGCTATCTCTTGGAAGTTATCGAAGGCTCCTAGTACAGTAGTACCAGCGGTAGAGTTCACTGCCATCGGCACTTTTCCCTGTGCCAGTGTTAGCTCTATGGCCTCTTCCAAAGCTGAAGGCAACATCCTACCTCTTTGGTCAGTCTTCACTTTGATGACGTTATCGGTGCCAATACCCAGCCAATGGCTACCTTTCGTCATCGAATAATGAGCCTTAAATAAAGTAAACATTTAAATTAATTGAAGATTATTAAAAACATTCTTCTTGTGCTAAGTGGAAAAAATCTTTTTTGTAGGTTATAATTAAAAAATTAAAGGATTATAAGTTTTCCAAAGTTAGATTTTTTAAAGTTAAATTAGTACTACAAATTTTGTGAACAATTTAAACCAGAACTATTACACTATTTCCCAAACAAATAAATTGTTGAGCAATAATTTATATCGGCACCATGTTAAAGTAATGAATGTGCAACGTTGGGCAGTTTTACGTTCGTTGCTTTAACATGCCGACGATATGTAAAATTTGATTCTATACAACTAGTCCATATTTTATCATCTCAGTCAAAACTTATATTCGCCCTAGTCAACAATGGCGTAAGTTTTGATTTTCGAGTTTTGTGAGGATCCCTTTCACTCTTTCCAAGTTTATTGCTCAAAATCTGAAGTTTTGGCTACATTTTATATACAATAATAAAGTGTTGGTTATTAATTATATTACTACCTATGATATAATTTGATATTATATTTAATTGTTATAATGTTGTGTTTAAAGTAAACCTAAAAATCGTTTTGTATCAAATCAAATTTACAAGTCTTTTGTAAAAACTCTTTACATTCAAATTGTTAGGTGATGAGTCAGATACAATCGATATTATCATTAAGGTAAGAAAAGTATACAAAAAAAATATTGTTTTCAATTTGAGGTTCACTAAAGCCGAGGCCTGCAGTTTTGCCACCTACTACTCGTGTTATTATGCTCCTGCTATTACAAAAGAAAAAAAAAATCAGGAGTGAACTTTATGTAGTAATGGACAAGATTCAGTTTAAAATAAAGGTAATTCATGCGATTAACTAAACAACCTTCAATGTTACATTAAATTACAATAAATTAGCTTCTTGTTACATTTCCGTTAAATCTTAACTAAACAGTACTTCAAGATAATTACTGTTCATTAAACCGTTATACAGAAATAAATAAAGTATTTGATATTTATATTACATCTTGTGAAGTGTAGATTACGAATGGAGGCATTCCAGCAATTCCTTTTTCTTTGATTTCCGGGTATTTTTTATAACGAGCCAGCACCAACCCGTACATATTCGATATACTTCCTCCTGCAAATTTGAAAAAATTAATACTTTACAACCCTAGAATAAAGAATTTCCGATATGATAAGAATACATCTTTTTTTTTTTACCTGGTGTAAAAATTCCGTCACCATTATTGAAACCAACCAAGGATAATGCTCGCTTGATCACCTCCATTTCACAAAGCGTGAGAGATGGTGCCACCTCATAAGTATACCTTTCACAAATAAAGATATTTTTGTTGAGCATGTACTATACAACAATATTTGTAAAAGTATCAAACTATATTCAATGACAGTGACTTTGCTAAGTTACTATAGAAGTTATTGGTTGAAATATGAAGGAAAGAAAGAGAGTAAATTTTTATTTATCCTGAAGAATGGAAACATTACATTTTTACTCACCTAAGACGAGGAAAAAAATTACTATGTTCCTAACATAAAAAAATGCAATATACACAGGACTGCTACAACTACTCAGGTATAATTCTATTTTCAAGTACACATAGGACCTGTCTACCATATTATATCGAAAACGACATACGAAACTGAAATTATATATTTAAGGAAGGTATATAACAGATATGTCACAACAATTTTCCAGTATAGAAAATTATACATTTTTTCAATGCGCATCTAACGAGTTTATTTAAACTCGATAGAACAGAGTAATATTAAGTGATTTTTAATTTTAATTTAAGGTAGATTTTATCCTCATAGATGCAACCTGACTGTGCTTAAATGTCGAATTTTCAAAATTCTATCTTCTAAAGTAGCTCTGATTTTGTATTATTGAAAAAATTAACCACAAACTAAAATAAAAGACAGGTAAGTGTATAATACACTAAATAAATTGTTTATTACCTAAAGGAAACATAAGGGATCGTAATAGAAAACCGAAGAAACCCGAACGCGCTCCTGAGTTTGATGAAAAGATTAGAACAGACTTCCAGACGTAACACGCACTTAATAATAATAGGGATTCCGATAATATAATAAACATATACATGTGCAGTTTTCAAAAATGCTTGCGTTGGTAAAATTTAATATTTAATAGTATAGATTACAACAATATAAAAATTAAGATTGTATATACACCAGTGCTTAAAAAAATAAAAATACCAACAACGAAATACTTATAAATATAGCGACCTCCTTTATTAATAGCAGTCTTGTGAAACTAAAAATATTTCGTTGCACTTAATTGTTTATTATGATTAAATTAATGATTAAAATATGCAGTAGTAAAAGGAAATGATTAGTGGCAAAAAAGCATAAATATACATACATAATACATTTGACTGCTATGAAAAAGGTATGGTAGTCAATTGTTTTAAATAACATGCTGTACCGTCAGTTATTTTTACTATCACTCCCCTTTGTCTAAGAAAAACTATTTTTGCTTAAATAAGGATGCCAAGTGAAAGTTGTGAGATGCGTGCACTGCACAAGATATTTTTTACTTTTTGAATGATCCATAAAAGGCCACTCAGAGCCACGGGCGAATCTACGGGGGAGAGGGAGGAGGGGGGGCTTTCGGGCTGAAGCCCCCCACCAAAATGGTAAAATATAACCATGCTTTATCGAAAAAAATATTTAAAAACTATCTCTTAAAGTATAATTATTCATGTAATTACATTCAAAAGGGCTTTAGGAATCACTTAAACACTAGTTCATATAGGTACTTAGTTTCTTTCCTATTTTCCAAGGTAATTATCGTTACTTTTATGAAAAAAAAATGCTAAAGTCCCTCCCCCAAAAAATTAAATCCTGGATCCGCTAGTGCTCAGCGCCCAATCATATTTTAGTACATCTCCAATTCCTTTGTCTCCAAAATCGTCAGAAAACATATAGCCATGTTAGAAATCGACATTCATCGTGAAATCTTAAGACTAAAGAGACTGTGGACTGTTTGATTGATTGACTGTGGAGAACTATAAGTACTGCGTAAGGGACATATAGAGTTCACTACAGAAACAGGATTTTGATCTATGGCAAGGTACGTAAATATTTCAATTCCAGAAGAAGAATCAGGACCGATTTGATATCACATTTTCAAACTTATTGATGTTGGCTATTCAATTAAAACACACACTAATTAATTAAGCAAAAATAAATCGGCAAGCTAAAGATTAATCAAGTAGTATTGTGCACTAACCAGAAAGCATCTCCGAGCCTAAGAATATCATCCAGAAAGAGCCCACTAATTTTATAAATTTTTTTTAGGACAAGTTAGAATTTGAATGGTGGTAATTATAGCACGACTAATTACAGTACATATTTTCGTTATTATTTCAATTTTGGAGAGACATAAATTTTGCTTTTTAAAAAAAAGGAGCACTTGAAACTCTGTTTAATATTAAGCAATATGAGTTCAAAAACGATTCTCAAAAATGATGGTACTCGATTTGATATCTGATCAAACATTTTAGTGAATTATATTCTGAGTAATTTCAAAGATAAGAATGCTAATCAATTTCAACAGCTTTTGAACATCACCATGCTAAATCTTAAATTTCTTTGAGATATAATAGTAACAACTAATATATTCACATATTATTAAAAAAAAAAACTAAAGAAAAGTTAATTATTATTAATACAATTTATAGAGTTATTTTCATGATTTTTTTTCAGAACCCAAAACTTATTATAATAAATAGTGGGCAGTAAGAAATCAATCTATCTAAATAAATGTAATTTAAAACATTCTCTTTCTTAAATTAAATTTTTCACTGAAATAAAAATTGTTAAATTGCATTACTTCAATTAAAATCTATAACAAAAGTACTGTATTAAAACAAATTAATTTATTTAACTCCAATAAAATTTGATAACACTCTGCAATATAACATAATTTTAAATGTCAGGGCTCAAAATGCCAAATATTACTTTAAAAAAAAGAAAGAGAAATTCTATTTTAAAAAAGACAATCTAATTTCAATCAAACTTTTGAAAGAATTTGATAATTGAATAAAGGAGGAAAATCCTTATTCAGATCGAAAATGAATCTCCGGATATAATATAATATATATAATAGTCAGAAGATACGTATGATATCCTTGGAAAGCGAAGAATTTGAGAAAAAATAATATCTGATACACAAAGTTGTAGAAGGTAACGGAAAGTGACGAAAAAATATAAATAATAATTTCTGAAACTAACATTATTTAACGGAAATCCTATGTTTTCAAGGAAATTAAATAAAATTTACTAACTAAATGTAAACTTTTTTCAAGTTTGAAAACAGTATTTAAAATCCAATCAAGGCAATGACATTTGTTGAAATACTATTTCATTGTACTTGTGTGAAAGTTCTATTTCATAGAACCTTTTTTTTCGGCAAAATGAACAAACATTTTTTCGAAAAAACAACACATTTATTTTGGAAAATGAAGAAATTTTCATTCAAATATATTTTAGAATTATAGAAATGTGTTACTTTATTTTTCTATGAATTGCCTTAAATGTTCCTATGAATAATCTTGAAAATTATTATAACGGTTTTCATTTTTCAACAAGGTGGGACATTTTCATCCTGTGATAAGTTTGGAACGAATGCATTTTATAAACTAATTAAACATACAGTATCTTGCAATTTAGGAATAAAATGTAATCATTAATAATAAAAAAAAAAAAAATAAAAAAGCTGACTAAAATCAACTTTGCTGTTGTTTTTATAGCCTTTTTCATGTTATCCAAGATATCGATCACTTGAAAATTTAATTTTTTTTCTTTTTTCTGAAATAAAGAATGTAAATTAAAAATAAAATAATAAAACGAATAATAATTAAAGTAGAAGAAGAACGGACTTTTTTTATAAACTAATTTAACAGATAGTTTATCTTACAATTTAGGAGAAAAAAAAGTTACTAATAATAAGAAATTAAAATGCTGACTTAAGCAAATATAAGACGGGAAAACATTTAATCTAGAAGTAATATCAATGTTATCGTGCGTCAGAGCGATATCGGATAGCCTTTATTGGCAATACTCCTTGAGAAGCCATTAGAAATACTTATTAGAGATAATTTAATTAAAAACTCGAAAATTTTAATTTTTCTGAAAATCAAGTGCTATAAAAATATTCTTTGTGATAATCGTTCAGTGGAGCGAAAAAAAAACAAGAAATGCTTTTAAATAGAATTTATTTTTCTTATTAAATCTTATTTAGGCTCGGAAAGACGTGAAAAACGATCCTGAGAATTTTTTGTGAAACAATAAATAGTGAAAAAATCACTTTTAGCAAAACAAATAGCAAAATAAGTTTACAGCGGGTTATGCAATCCAAAGGCGGATATACGAGGGGGAGAGAGGAGGGGCTTTCGGGCTGAAGCCCTTCCTCCTCTCAAAAATGGTATAACCATGTTTTATGGAAAAAAAATTTAAAAATTATCTCTTAAAGTATTATTGTTCCTGTAATAACATTTAATAGGACTTCAAGAATCACTTTAACACCATTTCATATAGGTATTATTTTTCTTTTTTATTTTCAAAGTAATTATCGTTATATATATGTGTGTGTGAAAAAAAAGCTTCCAGGCTGAAGACCCCCAATCAAATCCTGGATCTGCTAGTGACGCAACCTAAAGAATCAAATATTTATTTTCTAAAAACCATACGTACTGAACAATCATGGGATTAGATCGTTTTGTTTTTACAAAAAGAACAAAATATTGCTGTAAAGCAATTACCACACACCACATCTTACAACTAGGGTCACTCCTAGCAGTTCGGAAAGTCATTCAAAGCTAGTTCGTTCAGTGAAAATGAGGAAGGAGTTATGTTCTGTTCAGGTTTGCGGTGGTTTCTTTAGAGATTCGAAACGTATAAAGACTTAGATAGGATTATTGTCTTCCTTTCCTTTTTCTTGTTTACTTTGCAAATTTGCAATTAGACAGTCAGATGCACAAATTTTGATACTTTACTTAACACATAGATCATCTCTAGTTTCGCAGAAGATTTGGGGGGATGGGATGTGGCATCTATGTACCGAGGGTTTCTTGGCCACAAAGAGTCCGCTTGTGAGTGAAATTTAAGATTTTTTTTTCAGCTGATCAACAAGGATCGGATCAGCAGAGAACAGATAAAAATCGAAAACATCACATTTGAGAAGATGATTACATTTATTTATTTAGGTCCTGAGGAAAACTATGCAACAGGAAATAAATAAAAGGTTAATGACTGGAAAGAAGTACTTGTTCAGGCTCATAAAACACATGAGAAAGAAAATTCTTTCACGTAATACCAAAGTACGTCTTGAAAAAACTATTCTTGGACTACGAGATTCTAAGGCTTGTTCTGACCTGCGCTTCGGAATGCTGAACTTGCTGGACGGGACATGTTACTAGAATGAAAGACGACAAGAACCCAAAGAAACTTCTTAAAGAATTTTTCTACGATAAGAAGATACGATGTCAAGACTGCAGAGGACCGATAGAATATGGAGAGAATGCGTTGTCTATTTTGGGGAATACAGAAAAGGAAAAAAGGATACCTTCCTCCCCTCATCTGTGAAACCTTATTTCGCTCTACGTTTATTCAATAAAAAATAGGCTCATTTTGTTTATGTAAAACAGTGTTAGTGCTACAAAAACTACCTACTAAAAACATTCATAATTTCTTAAAAATTTTGATAGTACCTCTGGCTGGATTGCATCATAAATGTACGGAGACGGCTTGTGATGGTTTGGGTTTGTTACAGGAAGTCCTAACAGCCCACGATTATCACCGGAATTAAGAGATTAGAGTGTTGAAAATTCTCAATACTTTTTAATTTTACGAATAATCGTCAGTAATTCCAATATTTTTTTTTTAATCTTTATAATTCATTCAATACAATTTAAAGCTAATTAAAGTTCATTTTGAAGTGCTCCATTCACCTAGTAACTGGAAGAAGGGACAATGACCTTTTAGGACAACGAAAGTACTCGTCTTTGGTATGGAGCAAATTTCGCTTTCTGAAATTAGAAAACATTTGCGACCGAGAGATAATCCTAAGCTCAGAACAACAGGTTTTCGAAAGTTTTCTAGTTGTACTCTTCAAGATCATTAATTTGTGGACACTTTATTTACAACATTTAAAATGACAGTTACGTTCAATCACCCTCTTCGTGACTGTGGGAATTTCAATGTTTAAAAAAATAAATAATTGTTGAAATATTTATAAGAACACTAGGAAATACAATCTTAATACAAGTAATAACCAATTTAAATAACAACAAACACACAAAAAAATAAATTCAAAGTAGCTGATTTAATAATAAAAATAGAGACTCGGTCGTAAAAGATGGAATATAACTAAATGAAACCTTTAAAAAAAGTAAATTGTTTATTGGTTAAAATGTTCACCTTTAACGAAGAGTCACTTACCACCATTACTTATGTTACTAATATCAATATTCTATAAAAAAAAGAAATGCTAATAGATTCTTTCTACAACCTATGAAATCAGCTGTAAGGAGACAGTCTTCAGTAGCAAAAAAATGTTTTATGTGCATTTTAAACGGAAATAAAGCTTAAAGCTTATAGCTTACAAGTCATTAAGACCATTATAATTACAAAAAGTCTATTTATTATAGCGACGGTAGGTAATAAAAATCTAGTCACTTCATCTGCTTTTATAAACGACACAACTTCGGTCTTGGTACAAAAGGCACTTTGCAAGGCCAAGACCAACACCAGAACTGGCAAAGAAAATGAGTGGTTTTATCAATTTGAAATTGTGATATAGAAAAATATTATGGGACTTAGTTAAAGATTTTCAGAATGTCTTAACTAGAAATTAATAAAGAACTTTTCGCAGGACGGTCCCCGGACTGTTTATTTCCTTTATGTTAGCTAAATGAAAACGAAATATAATGATGACATTTGATCAATTCACTGAAGTCCAATAAATAGTAAAATAATAATTATGAACTCGTCTACTTATTTCTTACTGATTTGTGTTGAGCGCTGAGGCCAAGAGCTCGCCTGCCAGACCATACTCGTCCAGGCCACCGTAAAGCTGGTTGAGGAATCCAGGGTGGCGGGTCTTCACAGAGTGACGCGTGATCTTCTTCAGGCAGTCCCACAATTCATCTTCCTTGGCTGCATCTCCAAGGCTCAGATCCAGTTCGGCCTTAACAGATACATATAATTAATGTAACTACGTATCCTGTAGTTAATAATGGCTAGCAAGATTGGTTTAAACTCAGGATTATAGAGAATTAAACAGTGTATCGACATCCACACTTATAAATGACCAATTAAACGTTTCCAATCCTAGTAACTACGTGTAAAAAAAAAAGCTTGCTGATTGCTTGAATTATTTTAATAAAATCATAAATATTGCGGATGTATACATTAAACACGGTTCAAAGGGGGACAACCTCCATAACATAGGTACATTTCGAGAACTTTTCAGCTAAAAAGGAATAATGTTAAAAACTGAAAAATGGTTTGGGAAATGATGAAAAATCTTGAGCAAATATTTGGTAGATTCAATTGATCACTTATAAATAGGGATCGATTTCTGTAAGACAGAGCTTGTTTAAAAACACAGTTTCATTATCATTTTAAATAATAAATATTTGAAAAATCATTATTTTTATATTTTTTTTTTTGTAATAAATAAAAAGTGTATTTAATCATACATATTGGTTTTAACAATGACAATCTCCACTTTCGATTAAAGTAAATTTTGTCTGATTTCCAGTCAATCAATTTTTAACAAATTGTATTAAATAATGTTTCATTTATTTATTATTTAGTTATATCCTATTCAACAAAAACCACGACTTACTAAAAAAAAAACAACAACTTAAATCTCCTACTATTCCACCTCAAATCAGATCATTGTTTATATGAACTTGTTTTGTAGCTCTTGAGGTATTAGCTTGTTTAAATATTTTGCTATACTTACGGGATACCATGAATATCAACATATCCTAGGATTTTATAATTCAATCACTCCTCAATTTTCACCTGTTTTATCACATTTTTACACAAACACTTGTTGAGAAACTACCCACTGGTAGCACTCTAAAAAAAATGTGTTTACAATAGGAGATCTAGAGGCCATTTTCTTTCCAGAAGCCTCGGAGGGTTATTAGGGATCGAGGAGGTAGCAAGGTTAGAAACGAGAGAGTTCGGATGGTTTTGAAGTTTATTATGGAAGGATTGGTATCTGGATTGGACCAATTCGGAAACACAATGAATATTAAGGATGATTTTATTAGTGACAATGTAAGGAGCATTGAGGATTTTAAGAAAGATTTTGGAATGGGTGCGTGAGGAATTCGATTAGTGAAGCCCCAAATCTCAACTCTGTAAGTCCAAATCGAAAACATCGAGCGGTTTCTTATCGTTTCAGTCTGGTATGAGGAATCCAAGTTAGATATTTGTCCAAGTAAAATCCCATGCCATGTGTGATTTGACGGGATTTATTGGAATTTATATTAAAACTCCAATTTTTACATCATTCTTCGAAGTTTGTGATGTGAGATTGGGGAGTTTGGGCAACAATTGTTTGATCATTATTAACTGATAGGATACATGTGGCATCGGCATACGTGGTCATGACAGTGGTGGGATGGGTTGGAATGTCAACTGTATAAACTGCGTAAAGGATAGGACCTAAGATACTACCTTGAGGAAACCAGCGGACTGAGAAAAGAGGGATGAATAAGCGTTATTGTGATTCTCTTTAAAGTATCTATCAGTTAAGTAGGAAGGATTTGAAATTTAAAGTAAGTAAAATTTAGGAAATTTTGTATTCTTTAATTTCTGATTTTAGTATTTTAGTCAGTTAGGTGTAATGAGCTTTATCTGTTGGATACCTTGTTCTATGCCATTTCGATCTTAAAACATGAATAAATATTAAAAAATAATTGGCTTAGGCAATAAAAAACACTAGTTCAAAATGTGCTGAATATATTTGTCTTTCTAAAACAGTGGTTACTTTTTAAAATATTTGAAGCAGTTCCGTAGAAAATGCATTTAGGCTGGAGAAAAGGGGTACCGGCGTAGATGCTTACAAGCCTCCACCGCACCATTCTGTACGAATAAATGGCTTAGTTATAACATTTTTGGTACATTATATTGGTTTTATTAACGAACTGTTATTAATGCAATCATGTAATTGTCAACAAAAATTAAACAATTTTTTTTAAATTTATTATTTTATTAATTTTTTTTATTTAACTTACGTTATTCTATACGGAGGTCGTTTAAGTTGACATCTATTGTTAAAATGATATAATTATAATAATAAAACTTAATTAAAAAATACTTTGTTGAATATCTTGATTTTTTTATTTAACGTTTGCAATTTAACATTTTGTTTTGTATATTTACTGATTCTTAGAGGTAATTTAAATTGTATATACTTTACAGAAATGAGTCATATCAATACCTGTTTTATAAACTAAAATAATATATACGTAATCTGAACTACATATAATGAATAGTTACCGGGCTGTTAAGTAAAACGTATTGTTATGAAATTGCGGAATAAATTGTTTGGAAGTTGGACCTATCATAAATAAATAGGAAATTTTAATATTGAATCTAGTATTCCCTCTGCAGAAAGAAAGATGGAGAGGGCGGTACTATAAGTTCATCTAGTAACCGGAACTGATTGTTTGGATTTGGTCTCGAAATGAGGGGAAAACGCGAAATTGAAGCCTTTTTCTTCTTCTTTCTCTCTCACTCATTTGCCTCTCAGCGTGGGGGTGCTTCCAGCCATCTGTTCAATGCATCCCTGTTCCCGGCAAAGTTCCTCATCTCTTCCAGGGTCTTCCCTCTTCCTCTTCCAATTCGTTCCAAATGACTAACGTATGAGGTTCTTGGTCGCCCTATTGGCCTCACCTCTAGGGTTTTAACTGGGTCTCTCTGGTGGTCCATCCGGCAGACATGCCCGTACCACCTCAGCTGTCTCCTCTCCAGAGTTTCTAGCATGGTGCGTATCTTTAGCTCCTCCCTGATCCTGTCATTTCGGACAAAGTCTTTCCGCGTTTTATCCACAATTCTTCTAAGAAACTTCATCTCAGTGGCAGTAACACGGCTTTGTAACCTCTCATTCAGGATCTAACCCTCTGCTCCATAAAGAACTACCGGTAGGAAGACAGACTTGAACAAATGGAACTTCAGATCCTATGAATATTTCAGATGAACAGAATATTTTGAGATGCTGCTAAAAGAGAGTCAAATGCTAGAGAACTTTGGATGATCTTAAGGAGACGATGCAGGTTTATTATGTTGAAGACCACTTTATTTTCGATTGCAACTGAAGGTACACATTTGGACTATCTTCACTTTACAGCAGGTTATAGAGTGGTCTATCGAGAAAGGGAAATAGCTCTCCTTCTGTTTAGTGCATTTGCAAAAGATTTTTTAAGGAATCTTAAAGGAAAACGAAATTTTTTTAAAAGACAATTAGATATTAGCACAATCCAAAGTGTGAAGCTCTAAGCAGATAGAGAGCTATTTTTCTTTCTAGATGGACTTCTCTATAATCTGCCTTAAAGTGAAGATAGTCCTAATTTGCAAATTTGCAATTACCAATTACTGGTCCACAGACTATTACCCATGGATACCTGATGGCCCGTGATTCCTCGCCAACATGACAAACTTGCGGGACTCCTCTGACAGTGAAACACATTTTAACATAATGCAGAACTTACGAAACATTTAGACTCTCTTGTGGGTTGACAAACGATCTACACTCCATTTTACAGGACAATACGAACGAGGCTGATAAACTATTTTCTTTTCTGAAATGTTCTAAACTTCAGAATACAATCTAATCTAGTTTTCGATGAAAATAAGGCAATAATAACCATAGTGATTGAAGACTTAAAATATAAAAAATAAAAAAAAGAGACCTTGGCCGTGAACTTTACGTAATAAGATAAGAACGGCAAGGGAATTAACGGTCACTACCGAAACGAGCACCAAATTATCACATGTTCATTGTTAATAAATCTTGACTCACCTGTGTATCCGTGAACGTAACAATGTTCAACTGTTTATAAAGTCACTTGATAAAGAATTACCACAGGGTTTTAACTATTAAACACATATCAAAGTAACAATTATAGAGCGACACACAAGTTATACTGCAGTTGTGGTCATGACACTTTACTCATTGAAAAAAAAAAAAAGAAAAGTTAAATTATATTATGTTTTGAGCAGTTTTTAATTTTCAAAATCTTTTTTTTTTTTATAAGATCTTTTGTTCTATTTAAATAGTAAAAATAAAACCAATATGGTATGGATCCCACATTAATAGCAAAATTTAAATCCACAACATGAAGACTGCAATTACATAAAATAACGTAATTCAATCTAATCGTTTTTGATTCAATCTGATTGAATTTAATATTTTCAATTTTTATGAATTAACTCATTGAATACCTTTTTCAAATCAATAAAGTTTCTATTGAAGTAAATGGATATCTTAATTGAGATGTAAAATATTGGCTTACATTTTATATTATGCCAGAAACTTACAGTTATTCTAGTTTTCTAGCGACATGAAGTAAGTATTGATATCATATGATATATGATGAGATTTAGGAAAAACATGGTGAGATAAGAAAGATAATAAAAATAACTTAGATAAGAGAAATTATATAGACAATAAAGAAAGTATTGCTCTGCCTTATCTATTGGCTTTCAAGTCTCACAGTTCAAAAGATAAGTTATGAAATGTTTTCTAAATCGTATCAGTGACTATGATTCGGGATTCGAAATGAAAAAACATGAATATGAATTGGTAAAACCAGTCGTATGTCGCTTGAAGAAACTTTATCAAAATTTTAAAATAAGAAAGGAGTCTTTTCGCCATCTGGGCCCTGTTTCATAATAAAGTACAAACTAATACTATTAGTATAGTGCCTTGTACTTAGTAATTTTTCGTATCATAAAAAAGGTACGAACTACAAGTTGTATAATTGAAAATATAAGCTAAATATTGCTGTTATCATAAGTTCACAGCTGGAAGCAAGGTTAACTGTAATATGTTCATCATGTTGAGACATTATCATGTGAACACTAAGATAAAAATCTGGTGTGTCCACTCACACGACTTTCCTACCTATTTCAGAAAAGTGTTTATATCTTTACATATGTTAACAT